TGGTTCATAGGTCAATGCTCAACCTGAGCACCCTGGCTGGGCTGCACAACTGTTTAGCCTTGCAACTGATGCTTACAACCTAGGGGCTGGGAATCTAGCACTGGGCTTTTACCGCTTGGGAACTGAGAAACACCTCAAGTGGAAACTGCACATTGAATTTTGGGCACATTTCTCTAAGGTTTCCACTTCCTTTTCAAATCTCAGATTCCATGGTATCTCTGAACTCCAACTTCCTTCTTCCCAGCCAACTGAAATGCCACCAGCACTGGCCACCTCTTTCAGCTTGGTTCCTGTTCCTTGCTCTCTGAGTTAGTAAATGTTCTGGGGGGAAGCACAGGTAAAGGTGGGCCTTCCTAGGTGTTCCCACATTCTCTCCAGCAATTTCCTTTAAGTTCTGTCTGACTTGATTTTTCTCTACTACCTTCAGCTGCTCTCAGTATTTTATTCAGCTTTTCTACGATATAAGCAACACCAACACCCTCCGATGTGGAGGTTGAATGCACTTCATGCTCATCTACAAATGTCCTAAAGCTCCAAGGTACTGACTGGGTTAGGTTTCATTCACTCCAGATTCCTGACTGTTCTCTTACCCCTTCCTTACATGTTGGGGAGCACAAGAGACTTGGTTTGTAAAGAGGACATTCTGGTAACAGGGAAGTGAGTGTCCTGTCCTGTTTATTGTAATTCTGACTTAGGGGAGTGTCGAAGGTGGCACCCCTAAACATTTCTTGACCTTTCCAAGCAAGTCTGTGCTTATGCAGACCACCGGGTGTTTACTCAAATCCTCTGCTTAATCCCTGGATGCCCTTGTCTAGCGGACAGTATAAAAACGTGTGTGTGTCTCACTCCCCCCCCCTCACTCCCTCCCAGGATCTAAACTAATGTAACATATAAAAGCCTAGAGTTAGTTTGGTTTAATTTCTTACCTTTTGAAATTCCAAGGGACTAATTCATTATTTCGGAAGCAGGCCAGGGGAGGACACTAAGCATACCTCCCCTCTATAACCTGTGTTCCCACTGCCAAAGCTTAGACTTTCCGGGCTTCAGTGTAAGTGGACAGGACGCACGTACAGGCCGCTCTTACCAAATCCAATGCCCATTTGGTTCTTAGTGTTCCCCACGGCGTCTCAATGGCATTTAGCCCAGAGGAACAATCGGCTCGCGCGGAGCCCTCCCTCCCTTGGTCTTCACAACGCCTTTTCTTCCTTCTCTTCTCTATTTCTCTGCCTCCCTGGCCCTCGCTGCCCAGCGCCGTCTGCGGTGCTGCCTCCCTGGGCCCCGCAGGACTCACCTGCCCCCCTTCACCTTTGCGCTTCCCTATGGGTCCCGCAGGGAACGGCAGCCGGCGCTCCTCGGGGGGCCAGTTGCGGGGAATCCGGGGGGCCAGTTGGGGGGAATCCGGGGGGCCAGTTGGGGGGAATCCGGGGGGCCAGTTGGGGGGACGCGTCCAGCCCTGAACTTGTAAGGAGTCCGCGGCCGCCTCTCAGACGGTGGAAAGCGGATGGCTGGGTCCAGGACCCACCAACTCCATCGGGCGGGCGCGCATCTCTGTTCCCTGGGACGCACACGTGCTCACCGGAAGCGCCTTCCTATTGGAAGCGCCGTCCTGAAGACCCGCCCTCGTGGGCGGGGCTACCTCGTCCCGCCCCATGACGAGCAGAGCCAGCCCCTCTGTGGGGCTGGTGGAGGCGCCCAGCAGGAGCCTGGGTGGGGGTGAGAGGGGCAGTGTCCCAATTAAGTCCCAATTAATTATCTGTCTAGACTTACTGGGACAAACGCAGGTGACCAGGAGTCAGCACTAACGGCCTATTCCCTGGTACTTCAATGTCTAGACAGCTGAGCCGAACCTGAAACCATGACACACAGAATCAGGATGCAATCACGCAGGGTTTATGTACCTATTCCTAGTGGGTGCTAGGTTCTGGCAAAGGCCACCTGGCCATGCACACTGAAGGACAGACGCCGAAAACAGAGACAGGCAGGCGGCCGCAGTTGGTTCAGGCTCACCCAGCAGAGCAACCAGGGGCTTGTCTCTCTGAGCGACGTGGAGTCCTCCTCTTATCGGGGCAGGAGACCACAACTGAAGCTGGTCGGGGGTTATATGGACCGCCATAAACAAGTTGTGTCTTTATATGTGTGGGCCAGATGATGTGCCTTATATTGGGAGCAGGGAGTTTACATTTTCAGTGCGCAGAGCTTTTACATCAAGATATTGGGGTGTTCATTAATTTTGGAAGTTACAGAATATTGGGGGTTTTCGTACAGCAAACATTTCAGACAATAGTTAGCGGGGTTACATTATTGTTACAGACTATGTCTACATTACTTAGACAAAGTGAAGAAATTCCTTCTGCATGTGTCTGAGATTTTTCTTCCTATGGATTCCTCTAGTATTTTTACAATTTCCCATCAATGTGTAAGTCCTTTATTCATTTTGAGTTAATGTTTGAGTATGGTGTCAGTTGGTGTTCTAGTTTTATTTTTTTGCATGTATAAGTCCAATTTTCCCAACACCATTTATTGAAGAGACTCCATTGTATGTTCATGCCTCCTTTGTCAAATTTTTATTTTATTTTATTTTAAACTAAACCACATACATGTTATTTTCAAAACTTGAATGTCAAAAGCAAAACTCTGGCTATTGAATAACAACAATGCCAATGCAAAACAACAAAATGAGAAATCAGAATTATGGACATATTAATATTTTTAGCTTCTAAATGAGTCTCTTTTGTTGCTGGTGTAGATTTACTCAGAGTCCTTGGACTTGCTGCACAAGACTTTGCAGAAGACTAGAAGCTAACATGCTAGCATGAGCAGGAACATGATTAAAGAAGTACCTTCCACTTCAGTCTTTAATTTCTTCAGATGACTCCATGCTGGCACCACAGTCCCTTGAGTAGCCTTCAGTTTTCTTCTCCCACTTTGCTATCGTCTGGGCAACTCTCAGTCGCTTTGGGTGAAGGGACACAGGAGCTTCTCTGAGTCCATTGTGATGACGGACATAACGCTCTGGTACCTGAATTGGCTGCATTGCTCCTTCTTTCCTTACATTTTGAACCCAGGGTTTCACCCCGCAACCCTCCGGGCCTGGCTGCTCCGGGCCTCCTTTGTCAAATATTAATTGAGCATAGTGGTTTTGGTTGATATCTGGGTTCTCTATTCTGTTCAGTTGGTCTATATGTCTGTTCTTGTACCAGTACCATGCTGTTTTGAGAACAGTGGCTTTGTAACACAGCTTGAAATCCTCCATTTCTTGATTTGTGATCTGTTTCCTTGTCTACTCATTTTCGCTTCTTCCCTTAACTAGTAAGGTGGCTTTATGTACTAGGTGTCCTATATGGTCCAATGGGTCAGCCTTCCAGTTACCTGAGGTGGACACTCTTTTTTAAAAAAAATATATATGTTTTATTGATTTTTCACAGAGATAAAGAGAGAGGGATAGAGAGTTAGAAATATTGATGAGACAGAACCATCAATCAGGTGTCTGGTTATGCAAGTTCTCTCTCTCCCATGGCTGAGGTGCAGGAGAAGGTGTGGACTGGTGGAATCTAGGGAGAGTGGGCAGCAGTCCTGGAGAGGTGGTAGCAAGTCTGGTGCTGAGTCATACCTGAGTCCCAGTCACCATTTTCTCCTAAGAGATTGTGGCTGTCTTTTTCACCTGTAGGAAGAAACAACCTCCTGACTGCTCAGGACTCCAATTGTGGGTGAGACTCTGGGGACCTAGACTCATATGGGGCGAAACTGGACTGTCAGCCAGCGGGTGGAACTCAAGAATGGCTTTTTCTCAGAGTTGCTTGCAGCAATTACTGCAGGACACTGAGACCCGGAGGCCTCTTAGGGCAGGGCTGATGGGAAGCCATTACTGTTTGCTCTGCCTGGAGATACTGCTCCATCCCAGTGGTTTGTAGAGGCTTTTGCACATAAATGGCCTGATACATTGAAAACTAAACATACCTAACAAACTGCAGCTGAGTCAGAAAGATCCAGAACAACAACAAAAAAAAGCCCAAGGCTCCACAACAGCTTGCACTGCTTCACAGCTGGGCCTAATCTGGGCACCTCCAAACTCCAAACAAAGAACAGGAATTTGCAGAACTCTCCATAGCTCCTGCGAAAAGCAAAAAGAATAAAAAAATTTGAAGATAGTGTAAGAAGCTTCTGAGACAACTTGAAGCATACCAACGTTAGAATTTTGGTTGTGCCAGAAGAAGAAAGAGAGCAATATACTGAAAACCTATAATATTTGAAGAAATAATGACACAAAATTTCCCCCACCTGGTGAAAGAAATAGACTTACAAGTCCAGGAAGCACAGAGAACCCCAAACAAAAGGAATCTAAAGAGGACCACACCAGGACACATCATAATTAAAATGCCAAGGGCAAAAAAAGAGAATATTAAAAGCAGCAAGAGAGCTGAGACCGGTTTGGCTCAATGGATAGAGCGTCGGCTTGGGAACTAAAGGGTCCTGGGTTTGATTCCGGTCAAGGGCATGTACCTTGGTTGCCGGCATATCCCCAGTAGGGGGTGTGCAAGAGGCAGCTGATCGATGACTCTCTCCCATCGATGTTTCTAACTCTCTATCTCTCTCCCTTCCTCTCTGTACAAAATCAATAAAATATATTAAAATAATAATAATAATAAAATAATCTTTATCTTCCCTTAAAAAAAAAAGCAGCAAGAGAAAAACAGTTTCCTACAACAAAGCACCCATACTATTTTAAATCTCAAATTTGCACTGTCCACCAATTAAAATAGTTTCTGTACAAAAAAAAAAAAAAAATAGTATGGGTGCTTTGTTGTAGGAAACTAACTCTTTTTCTCTTGCTGCTTTTTTTTTTTTTTTTTTTTTTGTACAGAAACTATTTTAATTTAGAAACAGAAAACATCCTGGAAAAAAAAGAAAGTCACAAAACATGCAGGCAGCATTTTTACTCCATGAGTATCTCAAATCTGCACTGTCCACCAATCCCCACGATGGACCTCGTCCGCAGGCCGTCAGCCTCCAACAATGATGTTATTAATAGGGATGTGGATCAATTTCACAAAGAAGCCAATGAAGCCCATTATAGCGAATCCTATTGCTGTGGCCGTGGCAATCTTCTGGAATTCTTTCTGGTCGGGTTTGGTGCATCTCTTGACCAGCCGGATGGAATCCTTCACAAACTGCCGACTTGGCTCAACGAACTGCATTACCTGGTCCATGGTGCTGCCGCCGCCTCTCCGCCTCACCGCCTGGGACATGTTTCACTGAGCCAACTCTCCGCCGCCCAGTACCCAAACTATTGTCAGCTGATTTCTTGACAGAAACTATCCAGGACAGATGGGAGTGGCAAGAAATATTCAAAATAATGAACAGCATGAACCGACAACCAAGATTACTGTACCCAGCAAAGCTATCATTCAGAATTGAAGGTCAAATAAAGAGCATTACAGGTAAGAAAAAGCTAACGGAGTTCATCACTGCTAAACCAGTATTATATGAAATACTGAAAAGTCTTCTCTAAGAAGAGGAAGAAGAAGAAAAAGGTAAATATAAAAATTATGAACAACAAATACAGATCAACAAGTGAATCTAAAAATCAAGTGAATAGCCAAGGCCGGTTTGGCTCAGTGGATAGAGCGACGGCTTGCAGACTGAAGGGTCCCAGGTTCGATTCCGGTCAAGGGCATGTACCTTGGTTGCGGGCATATCCCCAGTAGGGGGTGTGCAAGAGGCAGCTGATGGATGACTCTCATCGATGTTTCTAACTCTCTATCCCTCTCTCTTCCTCTCTGTAAAAAATCAATAAAATATATTTAAAAAAAAAAAATAAAAAAAAAAATAAAAATCAAGTGAATAAAAAATCAGATGAACAGGATAATCTGGTGAATATAATAGAACCAGGGTTATAGAAAGGGAGTGGACTGACAATCTCTGAGGGGAAAGGAAAAAGCGGGGTGTGCAGGAAGAGACTGGACAAAAATCATATATCTCCCTATGGATGAGGACAGTGGGATAGGGAGGAGATTAGGGCATGAGGTGGGGTGGGAACCTGATTGAGGAGAGTTAGGTGGGTGAAAAAGAGGAACAATTTTAATAATCTGAACAACAATGATTAAAAAAAAGATTATTTTGAAAATCACAATTTATGTCTGGCAGGTGTGGCTCAGTGGTTGAGAGGTCACAGTTTGATTTCTGGTCAGCGCACATATCCTGGTTGCAGAGTTGATTCCCATTGTGGGTGTGCAGGAGGCAACCAATCAGTATTTCTCTCTCATCATTGATGTTTCTATCTTCCTCCCTCTCCTTTCCTCTCTTAAATCAATAAAAATATATTTTAAAAAATGAAAGCCACAATTTACTTCCGTAGTCTCCTCCCCAAATCTCATAACTTCAGTATAATAATGAAAAGAACACTAGACAAAACTCAGTTGAGGGACATCTTATACTGATTAAGATTGTAAGATCCTCAAAACAAGGAAAATCTGAGGAATGGTTATAGCCAAGCATCCCCAAGAAAAGTGACTACTAAATATAATGTGGTATCTTGAAGGGATTTTGGAATAGCAAGTGGACATCAGGTAAAATTTCAGGAAGTGTGAATATGGTATAGATGAAAGTTAATATAACGTATTAGTACTAGTTTATTAATTGTAGCAAATGTATTATACTAAGATAACATGTTAACCGCGTTGGTGGTAGCTGTGTACTATGCAGTTTTTCTTTAAAGCTGTTCTACAAAATAAATTTATGAAAAACAATTTTACATTGATTTTCAATTTATATGTTTGATTCATGATGAGAGCTATAATCCTCATAATTTTCACAATAGCACGACCATGAGTCCAGTTCTTCCCACTTCTGGGTATATATATCCAAAAGAACTATTAATAAAATCAGGCTAAGAGATATTTGCCCATATTCCCTTTCAATGAATTTTGTAGGAAATTGAATAATAGAACTCAATTCTTATTAGTGTTTCTTTTTCAATGGAAATATTCTGATGGGGCAATTTGTACTAACACCATGTTATAAAGCAGTGATTTTCAACTTTTTTATCTCATGGCACACATAAAGTAATTACTAAAATTCAGCACATCAAGAAAAAAAAATATATATATAGTTGATCTGACAAAAAATAGGTATCATTTTCATTTATTCACACCGGTCAGCTATTGTGTTGGCTGTTGTCATTTTTTAATTTGGCAATATAAGGGAAAAGAGGTAAGTGTTCTGGAATAAATAATCAGGTATTGCCTGTTTTAAAAATTCTTGTGGCTTAAGGTGGTTTTTCTCAGTAGATACAGCGTCGGTCTGTGGACTGAAGGGTCCTGGGTTCGATTCCGGTCAAGGGCATGTACATTGGTTATGGGCACATCCCCAGTGGGGAGTATGCAGGAGGCAACTGGTCAATGTTTCTATCTCATCAGTGTTTCTGGCTCTCTATCCCTCTCCCTCCCTCTCTGTAAAAAAATCAATAAAATATATTTTAAAAAATTATTGCGCCACACCAGGTGAAAATAGCTGTTATACAGTTTAATAATTTCCTCTGCTGACACTATAGCAGTGCCCCCAATTTGAAGCAAGTGAACAGTAACAATTGTCAAATCCATGGGATAAGAAGTTGAAATGCACAGTGACCATCATGTGAACTAATGTGAGGAGACAAATCTCAAAGACAGGGATTTAAGAATTTTCTAACAAGTGTCTACTGGTCACATGACAGTTATGGCTGTTAATTTAAACTGAGAAGAGAGAGGTGTATTTAGCTTTACAAGAAAGTGCAATGCATTTTTGAGCATTTATAGACATATTGAAATCTCATAAATTGATTTTAGAATTTCTAGGAAATATAACATTTAGCAAACATTACCTATTTGAATATAAAATATTATACAAAGCAGAATTGTGTCTTGAGACCGTCAGAACAATAACTTCTCACAAGTCTAATTACTTCTGAATTCTGTACTTGCTGCTGTGTTAATAGAGACTCATTAGACCCCTTAAACATTGAGTGTGAGGTGCACAAACGTACTAATTCTTCCACAAAGACATGCATGAATAATAAAGGGCATCAATTTTATATTATTATTTAACTAATAAAGCTTAGTAAGATTTTTACAAGGTCATAAAGTATAGAAGACTAGCTGATAAAAATTTTTCTATGCCAAAACCGGTTTGGCTCAATGGATAGAGCGTCGGCTTGGGGACTGAAGGGTCCCGGGTTCGATTCTGATCAAGGGCATGTACCTTGGTTGTGGGCATATCCCCAGTAGGGGGTGTGCAAGAGGCAGCTGATCGATGACTCTCCCATCGATGTTTCTAACTCTCTATCTCTCTCCCTTCCTCTCTACAAAATCAATAAAATATATTTAAAAAAAATTTTTTTTTTCTGTATTGCCCTGACCGGTTTGGCTCAGTGGATAGACCATTGGCCTGCAGATTAAAAGGTCCCAGATTTGATTCCGGTCTAGGGCATGTACCTGGGTTGCGGACACAGCCCCGGTAGGAGGTGTGCAGGAAGCAGCTGATCAATGTTTCTCTCTCATAGGTGTTTCTAACTCTCCCTTTCCATTCCTCTCTGTAAAAAATAAATAACAAACTAAAATAATTTTTTTCTGTATGTATTTATATTAAGAAACACACTTTCCCCCCCTTACGGTGGGATTACTTTTTTCTTCCTGTATTTATTATCTGATTTTTAAACTATAAGGTACAAGATTACCTTTATAATCAGAATATAAAGTTATTTCCAAGTTGAAAAAAATTTCACACCATACATTCAGGATAAGTAAAATCTAGATTAAGTACTTAGAAAAGAATATAAAGAAAACAGAATTTTTTCTCAGCAACCATAAAGTTGGAGTTTTGGTGGCCAAATACTAAACAGAATGATACAGTAGGCAGACAAATGAAATGAAAAGACATCACAAATGTAAAAAATGATATCATATATATTGTTCACAAGCATTTATGTACCTTTAGGAAATAATTGAAACTCCTTATTGCCCTGGCTGGTGTTGCTTGTGGTTTGAGTGTCGGCCTGTGCACTAAAGGGTTGCGGGTTCGATTAGTAGTCACGTGCACATACCTGGGTTGTGGTTTTACTTCCTGCCCACTGGTGGGGAGCGTGAGGGAGGCAGCCAGTAGATGTGTCTCTCTCACATCCATTTTTTTTCTTTCCCTCTCTCCTTTCCATTCTCTCTGAAAGCAATGGAAACAAATATCCTCAGGTGAAGATGAACAAAGATCAAACCAAAAACCAAAAACCAAAAACACCCTCATTATTTATGAATATGAATCTTATGACCACCCCAGGGATGAATATAACTGCAACATCATCCTTTACATGAAAAATTTTAAAATTATTTTTACATATTAATTATATGGATTAATATTAGAGATTGGAAAGAACTTTAATATTAATTTAATTCAATATGGGTATTAAAATAAAACAGGCTTGCAGAAAAGCTGGTTTAGATGGGAGAGATTTTCTTGGAGTAAAACATCATAAATGTGTACACTTGGTGTGGGATGGGTTTCAGGACATGTGAGGAGAAGCAGGAGATAAAATTGGAGAAGCTCTAGGGAGGGGGGAGTAGATTTGGGAATAAGGCCATTTGAGAAGAGCGTGAAGCTGTTGGAGACAGCTGTGTCCCTGGGGTCCTGATGTAAGTGCTTCCTTCAAGGGCTCTCATGAAAGAGAATAAATAGCTCAAATGCCTGGGCCCCAACAAACTGAATTTCATCTCCAATCTCACGTCTGTTCCTGAGGACTCATTAAGAGCTGGTGGAGTGGTTTCAGGATCAGGGTAAGGACTGAGCTGGTCAGTCCATACAGGCCAGAGGGGTCAGGACTCTTTTTTAAAATTTTATTTATTATTTTTATTTATTTGTTCGTTTATTTATTTATTTTTGTAAGGACTCTTTGATGTTATTGATATATATGGATGCAGAATTATAAAGACGAGAGGCATCTTTCTGGTTGGTTACCACAGAAGTGGAGGGTAAGATGTGGGAAGGGAGGTTGAGAGTATTAGTATATGGGTAGCTGAGGTTAATGAAGGTTGGCAAATAAAGAGAAGTAATCCTTTATAATAAAAGGCTAATATGCAAATTGTCCCCTTGGGCAGGAGTTCAACCAGGTGGGAGTTCAATCCCACCATGCAGCTGCCAACTGGCTGGATCAGGGCCCCCATTGGTCTCCCCAACTTCCCACAAC